GAGAGGGAAACTTTAGCAGACTTCTCGCTGAGCATGGAGTCCAATACAAGGCTCGATATCATGACCCTGAGATCATGACCTGAGCCAAAATCGAGTCGGATGCTCAACTGTCTGAGCCACCCAGGCACCCCTGTATCACCTCATTTTAATACTTAAAACAATTTCGTGGTAATGTAGGTACCATGAGGTAGGTACTGGAATAATCCCCATTTTACAAATGAGGGAGAGGCACAGAGAGGTTAAGTAACTTGTCCAGGGTCACACAGCTAGCAAATGGAGGAGTGGGATTTGAATCCAGGCAGTCTGACTCTGAGGCCTGATAGAAAGCTGCAGATATTTTTCTCTGACATACAAGGAGGAGGGGTTTGGGATACTTGTTTATTAACTGGTTGTCTTAGTTTCTTACATTCAAGAGCTGCTGTTGACCAGGTTTGCTTTTCTTAAAGTGTTGCAATTAAGAAAACCTGCTGGTGGGCAGTGAATGGGACAAAGTGGATGGCTTCATGACCGTGGTTGGAAATGGGTCCCAGGCTGGCTGTGGGAAGGCCTCCCTCTCCTTGGTGTCTCCAGCAGGCCAAGGAGGGAAGCGCTGAGTGGGAAAGGACTATGACTATGGCCACATTACAGGAGTAGTTTGAGGAAACCAGGAAGCCATCCAGGGCAGCGTTGGGAGGCCCTTTGATCTTGCGCGGAGAATATTTCTTAAGGAGACTCTGATGCTTTGGAAAGGAGGATCTCTGCTGGGGTCTGGAGTGAAAACAGCCATGAACAGGGGACTGACACAGTCCTAGGGACTGAAGAGAGGTTCAGAGCAGAGAAAAAGCAGCAGAGGAGCCTGATGTACGTGTGGGCTTTTGTGAGGTTCAGGTTTGTAGGCCATGCAGCGGGAATACTTTGAGCACAGCAGGCCTGGAGCCCAGGTCCGGTGTTACGGGCAAGTATTGGGAAAGATGCGCTAGCAGCGCGGAGGGCTTTGGGAAGACTGAGCCCCGAACAACCCATCATTTTCGTTATGCATCTGGGTGTTACCAGCGGGGGCTTGAGGTCTGGGGAGACTAGGGAGGCAGTTCTCGCCATTTCTGACATTCTGCTTCCAAACCTGGCCAAGTACTTCCTAACCTGTTTTATATTTCATTAGTTAATGAACTTCAGTTCAAGGATAAATTTAGCCCTGATGGGACTCTATGCAAACTCGATAAGCAAGTTATTTCCAACATAAATCCATCTCTGCTCCCCATCTTTCTTTATCCAGAACCTCCTTAAATCTCTTACCATTTAAGCTACTTCCTTTTAAAATTCTTTAGATTACCAGTCCCTTGGTGTGGGGACACACTGTCCAAACACAGGTAATTGTTGGCTTGTCCCTAGAATGAGTGATATTTGGTTTTTGTTTCTGTTTTTGTGTTTTTGTGGGGTTTTTAAAGAATGAGTGATATTTTTAACGTTCAGAAAGGATAGCCGGTTAGGGGCTTATGCAGGAAAATACCATTGCCTGTCGTCTTCCCCTCTAGTATGTAGGCTATATCATTGCATTCTGTGCATTTTTTTTTTTAAAGACTGTTAACCATATTTGTCCGCAAAGAATAGTTTATGTTATTGTAAGTAGAAGGGAGTTAGGGGTTTTGGACTGGAGAAGGGGGTGGATTGGAGACTCAGATTACACTGAGAAGAAAAGAATTCAGTAATTTGATTAGAATGGTGTGGCTTCTTTTTTTCTTTGAAAAATGGGATTTAAACCGAAGAGTACAACCTGTTTCATAGCAACATTCCAATGTGTCTGCTGCTGTTTCTGGTGTGGCTTTTTCTGCTCTTTTTTTTTTTTAATTTTATTTTATCATGTTATGTTAGTCACCATACATTACATCATTAGTTTTTGATTCGTTGTTTCTGTATAACACCCAGTGCTCCATGCAATACGTGCCCTCCTTAATACCCATCACCGGGCTAACCCATCCCCCCACCCCTCTCCCCTCTAGAACCCTCAGTTTGTTTCTGCTCTTGCAAAGCCCAGTGTTCTCTTCAGATAACTTCCTCTGAGTCCCAGGTACTATGTGAGAATTGTTGTTTCACAGCTTCTCTGTGATATTCCAAACAAACATTAACTTGGGCTTCTTTTTTACTGTCTTGATGGCAACTTCTCACCATCCTTTATGCTACTCTCCAGTCATGGTACCTCATGCTCCATCTCTTCTTCCTACACTCCCATTCACCATATAACCTTCCACAGCTCCTTACTTCCTACCTCTATTAATTTTCTGTTGCTGCATAACAGATTACCACAAACTTCTGGCTCAAAATAACATACACTTATGATTTCCCAGTTTCCATGGGCACAGCTTCTTCCGGTCCTGTGCACAAGGTCTGTTACAAGGCTGCAGTTGTCTTGTCAGCTGGGCTGTGTTCTCATCTGGAAGCTTGGCTGGGGAAGGATCTACTTCCAAGTTCACTCAGGTTGTTGGCAGAATTCATTTCCTTGTGGCTTCCATATCGAAGGCCCTAGCTTCTTGCTGGCTGTCAGTGGGAAACCAGCCTCACCTCTGAGAGGCTGCTCATAGTTCCTGGAGACGGCCTGCAGTTCTAGAAGCTACCTACAGCCCTTTGCCACATGGACTTTCCTAGTATGGCCTCTTATTTCATCAGGCCATCAAGGACAGCAAGTCTACTAGCAAGACTGAGTCTTAGATGATATAAACACAAGTGTAATATCCCATCACCTTTGCCATATTCTATTGGTTAGAAGCAAGTCACAGGTCTTGCTCATACTCAAGAAGAGGGGTCACGCAAAGACATGACCGCCAGGAGACAGGGATCATGGGAATCCTGTAGAGTGTGTCAAACGCACTCCTATATGCAACCTGTATCACACTTCTACTTCACTACCTTTTTTTGAGTGTTTTAAGCTTTCTGTAATTTGGTTTTGTCCTACTTCTCTTAATTTACTTCTCTCTTCTTAATAAATTACCTCTCATTTCCCCCTCAAGATTTTTTCTACCCTTACCATGTTAGGTCAATTAATACAAATATATTTTATTTATTAGCATCGACATAATTTTAAAATCTCGTGTATAAAGCAGAAGTAATTTTCATTGAAATGAAGAGTTCTTAGCTGTGTTTTGTCTTCTGAATCCTTTTGAGAATCTCATTAAAGCTATAGAGATTCATTTCCCAGAAGTGAGGGACACAATCCTGTATTGTTTCAGTTATTATTGCTGCATAGCAAAGCACCCCTAGCTTAGTGTGGTAAAATAGCAACCATTTTATAATGCTCATGGTTTCAGGAATCCAGACAGAGCACAGTGAAGAAGGCTTGTCTCTGCTTCATGATTCTTGGGGACTCAGGAGGGAAGACTGAAACAGCCAGGGTGACTTGAATGGTTAGGGACTAGAATTCCCTGCAGGCTTCTTCATTCACATGGACAGGGATGACTGGGAGTCTTGGCTCAGCTGGGACTGGAGTACTTATACATGGCCTCTCCATGTGGCTTGGGCTGCTCACGAGTGGTGGTGGCTCCAGGAGGGAGAGCAAGGGAGTATATGGAGAGCAAGCCTTCCAAGAGGCCAAGTGGAAGCTGCCTGGCCTTTTGTGATGGTAGCCTTGGAAGCCACATGGCATTGCTTCTGCCACACTGAAATTGGCTGAATGGTCTCAAGCCCACTCGGCTCCAGGTGGAGGGGACATAGACCTCACCTCTTAATGAGAGGCATATAGGAGAAATTGCAGCCATTAAACACACACACACACACACACACACATATACAAACACAAATATATTTAAAGGACTAGATTATCTGAGAATTGAAAGGGGTCATAGAGGATGATCTATTTCGGTCCTCTACCATAGCTCAATTCCTTCAAACAACTTTCCAGTCATCCCATGCTTGGACCACTGTGGGGGCAGAGGGATTCCTTCTGGTCTCTCCTGTCATCCACTCCCACCCCTTTCCAGTCTGTTCTGTTCTTCACTCCATAACCAGAATGCTTGTTCTAAAACACAGATTTGCTCCTGTACATCACCCATCTTCACCTCCCCACCCCACTCCACTTCAAACCAGATTTTCTAACTTCAGTTCTCCTTGGCTTATTTCTGTCAGATTGTTCTAACATTTTTAGGTAGTAATGGAGAAAGCTCTAGAAGTACCTTTTCTTTTTTACTTTTAATTTAAAATATGACTTAAGGGCACTTACTGGGGTCATGAACGCCATCAACACTGCAGAACCATGGAAAGGGGACCAGAGAATCATCAAGCAGGATTGTTTCTCTTCCCGAGCGTGAAATTTCCAGCTTTCTGCTCAGTTATGTTCTTGCCTCCTTTCCTGTGGAGCTCACCATTTTGTGCCTTTCTCTTCTTTCCTTTCTGCCTGCAGCTTTGCACAGGAAATGTTGGTGCTGACAGTCTGATTTCTCTGTAGGTGCTTGCAGTGACACTGGGTCTTGTGAGGTTTCTCCAGTCCTCGTTGGATGTGCATAGTTTATCTTTCAGAGAGAGAAAGATGTCACTGGGGCCATCTTTCCAAGCATAGACAACCTCAGTTATTTGGCTGGAGAGGACTCAGGGTCCTAAAAACACATTTGCATCCAGATACACTGTCCTTTCATTTTGCATTTTGGGTTTCTTGCATGAGGTTTATTTTGGTGTCATTGGCCACGGCAGGTAGTCACGTTGATCTTCGATTTTCTAGGTTGTGAGTTTTACAGTCCAACCCTTGTAGGTGGTACAGAAAAAAAGATTTAAGATACACAGGTATCTTCTGCATCTTTGCTCAAATATCACTTCATCAGAGACTGTTGCTCACATACCTGCCCTGTAGGGTAGCTCAGCATTTGCATCTGTGCAATTACGTCATTGTCTGAATACGGTTAATGAGTCTTCTGTGCTAGGGCGGCAGCTCTGTGAGATGGGAGCAGTGTCTGCCTTGCCCACCCCTTCTCTCCAGGACCTTCCACTGCAGGCACTTGATGACCAGCTGATGCCTGATCGTGTGGTATTTTGTTTCACAGGAATAGACAATCTACAGATAACAGTCAGCCCAACCCCGGAGTCATTTCCTCATGGGAAAGTGTTACCGATTGCACCAACATGGCCTTTCTCTGAAGTCCAGTCTTCCTCGGCAGTGGGCAGAATCCAGAATGTGCTGGGACCGTCCCCTGACAACACGAGCGTGCTGCAGTTCCCCCGAACACCTCCTCCCAAGACACACCGCAGAGCTAGGGCTCACGGGGACTTCTCTTCCACCCCTTACCAAGGAAGTGGCCATAGCACCTCCCTCGAGCCTTCCAAGGATTCCACGGAGTCTGTGGTCCAGCCGAGACCTCAAGGGGGAAAAGACACAACCTCCGTGTCAGGTTTGCCTCACACCAGCATGCTCCCCTCATTGTCCACGACCCCATCTCAGCCAGTATGGGTAGGGACTCCTTCCATTTCAACACAACATTCCCCAAGATCAGACATGCTCCCATTTTTCCCTCCGCCTTCATCCTCTTCATTGCCTCCTGACTCACCTCATTCCATCGTCTTTTCTAAACGAGCCGAAGGACCCACCCAAGTGCCTTTCTTCCCCCAAACAGCTCCACCTGTCTCCTCTTCAAGTCAGAGCATAGCTAATTCCCCAAGCCCATTTGCTGGTGAAATGAACCACACTCGGTCCAAAAGTGCCCAGGATTTGATAGGCATCCCTCATCTAGGTTTTTCTGGATCCTCAGCAGTGCAGCGGCCCGAGCTGCGCCCCACAGCCGGTCCTCACTCTGCGGGCTCCCCCACACCTGAATTTTGAGCTCCGTGGCAGAACTGGCCCATCTGCCTCTCCCTCCCCTGGTGCCTGGAAGTCTTCCTTGGCTTCCAGATGGACCTCCCTCATGGTCAGTGTAGGAAGTGGCTTCAAGTCCCACATCCACCCACCCCGTCGAAGCTGGGCTGGCTGAAGGAGTGCACAGTGGGGTGTCTTTGCCTACTGCTAAGAGTGCAGCCGCGGCAGCAGGGACCCAGGAGGCTGTGTCTTCACTTTTCCAGACTGCAGAATCAGTGGCAGTGGAAACGACCAGCAGAAAGCTAGCCCCTGCTACCACAAATGACTCCACTCACCCACGGCATTTGTCAGCAGCTCCAGAGAATTCCGAAGGGCCCATCCTTTCGGCAGAACACACGGCTTCTTCATTGGTGCCTTCTCCTCTGCCTCTCCCCACTGCCAGCAGAGGGCAAGCCGTCCTTCCTGGGGCATGGAAAAGCACAGCAGCAGCCTTTCCCTCAGCTCCCACTTTCCCCCAGCTGCTACAGATTCATGCCTCCCCATCCACGGCGCCCCAAATGCCAACTCCTCAAGAGGAGGGCACCGACTGAGCCCCTCCTGCTATGGCTACAGACCTCCCCCTCTCAAGCAAATCCCCCGATCTTCTTTCCACGACTTGGGTCTTTCCCCTGTGGGAAGAAAAGAGCGTGAAAACTGTTTTAAAGAAAAACGAAAAGGCAAATTTGACAGTTGCTCTCCAGACCCTTCCAAGTAAAGAGATTCCAAATCTTCACACTGTAAATGGGTTCACCTCTGATTCCAGCACTGATCATATTTCATCTTTTTTCATTACAACACTAAGAACAAACCTCCCTACAGAATTAGCTCTCCCTTCCATGCCCTCCATACGAAGCACCCAGACTATTTCCCCATCCCCCAGCTCGTCCAACATCAACCCAGAGGCTCATGCAGCTGTGGTAGACCACTCTGAGTCGCCAGTCTCAACTTCCCAGCAGGTGACAGCATTTCCCTCCTCCGCTGAGGTCTATGATTTCTCGACAATGAGACATGTGAAAAAGCCAGCAACCACAGATGTTTTCTGGAGTTCTCTTCCCACAGAAACTGGATCCCTCTCCATAGAGCCAATGATATCTGGCTTGCTGCAGCAAACAAATTATGATTTAAATGGGCACACAATTAACTCCAGCAGTTGGGAAATTCATTCAGCTTCAACTCCTCCTCCCAGTGGTTCAACTTGAGCTGCCAGTACAATAAAATCTTCAGATTTCAGAGCTACTGCTGGGCATTTAGTGACTGCAGAAGGCTTTAACATTCAGCTTCCAGTCCTTCGTACAAGCCCCAACCAGCCCATTCAAGTCAGAGGTTACCATGGTTGGAAACCATACAGACTTTGTGTCCATAACTGGTAACCATTCCAGAGACTTCCAAACAGCTGAGGTTGGAGAGTACCCATCTGCAAGCCAACATGCTGCGTCTCGTCCCCACCTGCAGCTGCCTGTGCATCCAACACGTGCTCTTTCTCCAGCTTCTCCAAGGCTGACTTCCACAGCCGGCTTGCACGAAGTGCTTTCAGATGGGAGGGATACGAGTCTCTCCATTTCCAGTGACATCTCTCCATCTCCTGTGATAAGCGCTTCTCCACCATTCCAGAGTCTCTTGAGATATCACACTATGGCTGAATCTCCTCCTCTATCGACCAGGGCCGGATTCAGGACCCTGTCCAAAGTGCGGCTGGCTTCTCAGGGCCCCGACAAATGGACAGCCACTCATACAGGTAGTTTGTTTTCGGTACCTCCAAAACAGGTATGACTCCTTCTGTGGACAAAGGATCTTCAAGTTCAACACAGATACCCAGCTTTGCTTAGAAGGAGCAGAAACACACTTTGAGGATGATGAACGAGTTAGCAACCCCAGAGAGCTATGTCCTCGATCCTCTGCTGACTTGAGTTTTTTGAAAGTACAGTCAGTCTCCAACTTACAGTGGTTCGACTTACAATTTTTCAGCTTATAACGGCGTGAAAGTGATAGGCATTCAGTTGAAATCCTACTTTGAATTTTGAACTTGGATCTTTTCCCGGGCTAGCGATGAGTGTGATCCTCTCTGGTGACGCTGGGCAGGGCAGCGAGTCACAGCTCCCAGTCGGCCTCGCGATCACGAGGGTCGACAATGATACAATTACAACCCTCCTGTACCCACACAACTATTCCTTCACTTTCAGTACGGTATTCCACAAATTACATGAGATACTCAACACTTTATTATAAAATCGGCTTGTGTCAGACGATTTTGCCCAACTGTAGGCTAAGGGAAGTATTGTGAGCACGGTGAAGGTGGGCCAGGCTAAGCTATGGTGTTTGGTAGGTTAGGTGTATTACATGCATTTTTGATTTATGATATTTTCAACTTACGATGGGTTCATTAGGACATAACCCCATCGTAAGGCAAGGAAGATCTGTATTCAGAATTTAAATGTCCTTCTTGCCAACCACAGGTTTCTGTAAGTGGCATCCTCACTGTGGGTAGCTGATTTAATGAACCTAGAGCTGTTTTGCCTAAATTCCAGAGCACAGAGACTTTTCACGCCAGCAGACCCGTAAGTTACATCCATCCGTCACCACCACAAGTGACAGACTTTGCTTTTTTTCTCTTTGCAGCAGAACCCTCAGTGTCGTCCAGGGCGGAACCGACAGCAGCAACGGCAGTAGCCACGTCGTCCCTGGGGAAATCAAGTCCACAGGCGCTGTCTGCAGCCCTGGTCGCCAAGGGCCCCGGCAGCAGCCCGGCAGCCGTGGCCTCGGGATTAGTCAAGAGCAGTTGGACCACTGCCCTAGCTAAAAATGCCACAAACAGCGCAGCGCCTGGCCCAAAGACGACAGCGGGGGCGGTGCATCCGGCCTTCTCATTCACACCAACCTACATGTTTGCAAGAACAGCACACACCGTGAGTGCTCACACAGCCATGCAAGGCAACCCAGGCACTGCCTTGGGCCTGCTGTCCACAACACACCTCCCCAGGAAACCACAAGCCATGCACACGGGCCTCCCAAAGCCCACCAACCCGGACATGCCCAGGGCATCCACCGCACGCCCGCTGACCAGCACAGCAGCCTTGACGTCCATCACCGCCCCAGTGAGGGCCACCCGCATGCCACCTGCACTAGCAGGAAATACAGACGCCGCTCTTCCCGGTGCGTCGACTGCCGGGGTCACCACCGGCAAAATGGCATCCAACCTGGAGTGTCAGATGTCCAGTAAGCTCCTGGTGAAGACAGGTGAGAGAAAGCAGCAGAATTATGTAGCAGAAGTATTTGATTTCTTTGAGATGAGTGGGTCTTAACCCGGGACAGTTTTGCTCCTTCTCCCCCCAGACGGCATTTGTGGCCATGTCTGGAGACGTTTTGGGGTGTCTGTGACTTGGAGGGTAGGGGGAGTGCTACTGGCATGTAATGAGACAGAGACCAGGATGCTGCTAAACCCCACAGGGCACAGGACGGTCCTACAGCAAAGGATAATCCAGCCCCAAATGTCACAGTGCTGAGGTTGACAACCCCTGGTCCTTATCATAAGTGACAGAGGAGAGGGGGAGCTTTGTGTGGAACGGAATCTAGTCCCGGGATCAGTCCTGATATCAGAGGCCCCCTGGGGAAACCATTTCTGCCAGGGGGCCTGAGAAGATGAACGTGTAGCAAGTCTTGCCTGTAGAACAAATCAGGGATGTCTCACATGAATGAATGAAGTGGTTAGTAAAATATCAAATCTTGGAAGCACTACAGAATTCAACCGACTGAGCCACCCAGGCGCCCCCAGAAAGGCTTTTGTTATGTATTTTTTCAGCCAGCGGATAATAAAAGTACAGCTGCATGATGAGGGTGCCCAGGATTTCTTTTGATGTTGAAAAGGAGGCCTTGAGAAAGTTGGGTGGTGACTGCTATCTCGAGCCCCCACCTCCCAGTTGCAGCCAAGCAGGGCAGGAAGGCCCAGGCTGCTTTTAACAGTGTGGTAGTGTTTGCTATAAAAAGCATTAGACACATTATTTGAAAGAGCATGCCAATGCTGAATGCTCGAGTCCCGCCTTCCTCTTCACCCCACAAAGGATTAAATGAAATTATATCTTGAGATGTACCCTATTCTAAAATGGGAAATTGTGAAACTAGGCATAGCAGGAAGTACAGTATTGCTTTCTATTTCTCAAGAAATTATACCATCTGGTTTTCCATTCCTCCTCCTCTGAGAGGCAGCCCACCCCAACACCTAGGTGCAGAAGTCTGGAACATTCTCCCCCTATTCTCTATCACCCCCTGTCACCCCAGCCACACCTGGTCAACCACGGGGGCCCTTCAGTTCTAACTCCCTGAATACCCCTTCTCTCCACCCCCCACTGCCCCTTCCCTGGTTCACCCTGTCATCACCCACCTCAATTTCTGCAACAAAAACCAAATTTATCTCTCTGCCTTTGACTAGCCGCCCCCCCCTCCAATCTGTTCTCCAGTCTGCAGGCAATGGAACTCTGTAAAATTTATGCCTTTGCTTAAAACCTTTCACTTCCTGTTGCCCGCAGGACCAAGCCTAAACATGTATACTGAGAGGCTTCGCTTTGTGCCTTTGCACTTGGTCTTCTCTCTGCTGGGAGCAGGGTGGGGCGGTCCCTCTCCCCTTGGCCTGCTCATTCCCTATTATCCTTCAGGACTCAGCAGAAACTTCAGGAAACCTTCCTTGAACCCCACCCCCTTGCCCAAGTCCGGGCTGGACGTTCCTCTTAAGGCCTTCGACAGCATCGGAGGCTTCCCTTCAAATAGTGCCTGTCACCTTTAATCACAGGTGCCTATTGTCCACCCCGGGTCTCCATCCCGCTCTCTGTCCATCTTGTGGGGTGTGGTGCTGCCCCTTCCCGATTCAGGGCTGTTTTAGGCTGCAGGACCTCACTCAGGGCGTGCACGTCAGCAGGCTGACAGGAAACGCTGTTGCAGGAATTTTCTTGCATGCATTTTCTTGCAGACCCATTAGGACCAGGCACCGCTGAACCCAGTTTTCAAAGTCGAAGGCAGCGTTGGTCAGAAATGAAGTGCAGCCAGCGTATTAGCTCTCTCTCCTCTAGGGTCACACAAATACGAGGGCCTCCCTTCCCGGTACTTGAGTGGGACCAACAGAGCTACTACCGCAGCCTACTGCCCCCATTGGTTGGACCTGCGCTCACCAGCTCTATTCAGAACTTGGCAGGAGGTGGAGGGTGGAGAGGAGAGGGGAGCTCAGTAATGAGGGGGTCTGCTGCCTTACCCTGACTACCGTGCTTCTGCTTGGTCCCACAGTTCTCTTTCTGACCCAGAGGAGAGCGCAGATCGGTGAAACCTTGAAATTCAGTGTAGCCAAAGGGCTCACGCAGGCATTACGGAAGGCTTTCCATCAGAATGACGTCTCAGCTCACGTAAGCCCCTCGCTTTTGTAATTAGACTAAGCTGTCCACATCCTCCTCTTGGGCCCAGAGTTTGTTTAGATTGTTTTCCTCCTCCCTGGGTACCGTAACCGGACTTGTCAGAAGTAGCATGTTTCTTCATTTCGGCAAACAGCTAATGTGTGGTGACTGGGGAGAAAAAGGTCAAATTTTGAGATGGAAAAATGGAAGTTAATTGCCTTATATCTGTTATTTTTTCAAGCCCAGATATACTGTTTTAAATTGTCCTATTATCCTATTGTTTAGGGAAAGTATTTAATATTGTTAGTGTAATTCTCAAGAAACTGTCCATTGCTTTTCAAACCTTTATCTTCCTCAGCATTGTAAATAATGATTTATTTCTGGACATTTAAAAATTATTGTAAATTGAGTCCAACTTTGCTTCAATAGCCAGCAGCAGACAGGGAAATAAGCATTTTTCCCCCAAGCACTTTAATGCCAAGTACTATTTAACAACTGCCAACTGATTTCCATGGCATATCCAAGCGATGGAAGCCTTGCTTTGCACTCTTTGGGATTGATGCCAAGTTTTAAAGCCCTAAATGTGATTGGCAGTTGGTGGACAACCATTTTCACCACTTTAAAAATACTGCTCTGGCTCTTTTCCTTTGAGGCTTGTCCTGCAGCTGCATTCAGCTTCGTGGTCTCCATGACCACACCAAGGACTAGGAATGAGGTTTGGTACATAGTTTATTGGTCATTGTCAATCTCTTTTTTTTGGGGGGGGTGGGGAGGAGCAGAGGGAGAGGGAGAGAATCTCAAGCAGACTCTTAGCTGAGCATGGACTTCGACACAGGGCTCAATACCATGACCCTGAGGTCATGACCTGAGCTGAAACCAAGAGTCAGATGCTCAACGGACTGAGCCACCCAGGTGCCCCTGTCAATCCCTTTTATATAATTCTGAGAGGAAAAAAAAAAAAAAAAAGAAATGCATTTCGTGAAAAGCATCTGTGGTTTCTGTACCAGAAACTTTACTTGAAAGTTGAAAATGTGAGTATTTGTATTTGGTCATCTGACATGTAATTTTCACCAAACTTCGGTTGTTTGCAAACTACCTTCAGTGTTCACCTTTTCTGCATATCATCGCAGACCACTGTGACAATTAGTTATGAATTCATTTTTAAAAATCAGCCCATTTTTAAAAACTTTTGAAAGGATGTTTGATAGTACTGCCATGAGTGGAAATCAGGATCATTTGCCACAAATAAAAGGTAATCATAAAAATGAGAATAATGGTAATGACTTGGTAAATTCAAGCTAAATATTGTTGCTTGAGGAAGGCTCTAAAGCTGATGTCCCTGGGGTCTTTTTGTTTAAAAATATGATTAGCGAGCATTAGAGAGGTACTAAAAATAAAAATAATCCCCAAACTGAGACTTGCTCCTGAACGTCATTAGGATTGGAGTGGGAGTCACTTTCTTAGCCACTTTCTTAATCACTTTCTCTTAAATAAAGAAATAAATCTTTTTAAAAAAAACACTAAGAAAGCAAAATAAAATAAGAATAAAATCTAAAGCCTCAAAATCTTCCAGTTGGGTCAGAAAGAAGTCAGTGCATCAGTGTCTCTTAAGACTCAGTTTTAAGAGAGACTCTCCATGGCTCATCCCCATCCCCACCTCAGTCTTGAACCAACTTACAAGCCAGGAATGGAGTGAAGTCTGAACAGTTCTTCTCTTAGCTTTTAGAAAGAGGAATTTACCTCATTTACTACCTAATCCCTGTCCTGAAGAAGCCCCCACTTCATCTATTATCTCTGCCTTTTAATTTTCATAAATAATGAGAGCTATAATAAAGCTGTCTTTCCCAGCATTTCATCTCTGGAAATCTCTTTTGCCTGCCATCTCCTCTCTGCCTTCTTGGGTGACCGTTGGTGCTCACAGGATTATCCTGAGGCATTTAAGGAATCAAGGAAACCCCCACAGATTTAATGCGATTCCATGGAAGTTGGAAATAAATTGTATTTTGTTGTATTCTGGTATTTTGAGACTTGCCAATCCACATATGGTTTATCGGATTATTAGAATGTTTGCTGAGTGAGAACATCTTATTCCCCAGCCCTGCTAAATAACAGTTGTGGTCCTAAGAAATACCAAGAAAAACTTAAAGTACTGTGGAAATAAACACTGAGTTCTGTGGCTCTGTTTGTTTTGTAGGTGGACATTCTGGAACATTCTCATAACGTCACTGTTGGTTATTATGCTACCAAAGGGAGGCTGGTGTACTTGCCTGCTGTAGTGATTGAAATGCTGGGTGTTTATGGGGTCAGCAACGTCACTGCAGATCTGAAGCAACATACCCCAAACTTGCAGTCGGTGGCAGTCCTTGCCTCCCCGTGGAACCCCCAGCCTGCAGGCTACTTCCAGCTGAGAACAGGCAAGTACCTCAGAAGGAAAGGATTCCTGTCCATTCCGGGATTGGGGGCTGTATCAAGAGGACACCTATTTAAACACTTCGGTGCTAGCTGCTTTATCATCTCTTAAAGTCCTGTGTGCCTTCCTCAAAGGGCCCTGCTAATCAACTGTCCCGGCTCCCTGCACAGAAACCTAACCTTCCAACCCTGGATTTATTAGAAATAGTCCTTCGCGGAAGCCTTCCTTCTCAATTTATATAATTAGTACTTTATGAGCAACAAGCACCGTATTTTTAATTTTTTTCTGTATTACCAGTGGATACTGATAAGAGCTGAGCATCCATAAAATCTATGCTTTGGAGCAGCACATTTCAGATGCCCCTGAATCAGAATCTCTGAGCTGAGGCCTTGGAATCTTCCTTTCAAGCTCTCTCGTGATTTTGATTAGGTGGTTGGCAAACCACAGGAGTGGAGAAACCATTGAAATTGAAAGATTTGATCAACTTAGTGATACAGGTCAATTGACTCCCCCCCCAAAGAAATAGAAGGCATGATCTCTCTTTGATTGTTTTTTATCATTCTTGGAGCAGGTATCTGCATAGTCCAACCAAATGATCACAAAATCTTTTCCATTAAGGGGAACCTCAGGTTTGATCATGCTTTTAATTCTTCTCTATTACAAATCATTTTAAGAGCCACTTCTAAAGGTACAACCAAACCTTGTCAGTCCTTGTTTGCCTGATTTCTCGGATATAAAATCATGCTGTTTTATAAGATGACTGCTGTGAAGTCCAAGGAACTAAGACACACAACTTTGGCAAGTGCTGATTTATTACTCTCATTCTAGTGCTGCAGTTTGTGAGCCAATCCGACAATATCCAGTCCTGCAAGTTTGCTCAGACGATGGAACAGAGACTGCAGAAGGCCTTCCAGGATGCTGAGAGGAAAGTCCTGAATACCAAAAGCAACCTGACAATTCAGGTGAGGAGGAGGGCGCTTCAACTGTGTAGTTGACAGAGGCCAAGCATAATGTGAATGTTGGCAAGAAGTGACTTGGTTTCCTGTTTCAAAGCTGCCTTGTGTAAATATAACTTTGTACTTAGGGTGGGTGACGTAGACAGGAGGAGGTGCCACTCTGGGGCCCCTGAGTCGAGTCAGTCCCAGCATTGGTGAGGATGTCTGCGGTATGGCCATGACTGTTTTGCCATAACCTGCTATGGTTTGGGATTTTGTATTTATTTTCCCATGTGAAGCTTCCTCAGGCCTTCCCAATACATTTGCTATTTTGTTTTATTTTGTATTGTTTGTTTGTTTAGAGAGAGAGAGAGCACACGCGTACACAGGCACACACGAGTAGGGGGAGGGGCAGAGGAAGAGGGAGAGAGAATCCCAAGCAGGCTCCATGCCCATTGCGGAGCCTGACGCGGGGCTCGATCTCATGACCCTGAGATCATGACCTGAGCTGAAATCAAGAGTCGGACATTTAACCGACTGAGCCCCCAATATATTTACTATTTTAAAAATTAAACTAGATATACCATATAAGATACAGTCCCATAAAAATGAATCAAATGTCTCATAAAATGAGTCAATTCTAAATAGCTAACACATCAAGATTTGCCTATCCTGTGATTTGCTTTGAGTTATTTTCTAGATACCCACATGAACAATCACCTTAGTTTAAACACACACACACACACACACACACACACACACACACA